GTTCTGGATCCACACGATCCACATGTGCTTCTCGAATTGTCTTTTCTACTAGAGCCAATTCCTTCTCAGCTTCGGCTGATAATTCTCTTGGACTATTTAATTCTTTGTCCCCTTCTAGAGTATTAGCCAAATTTTGTAGTCCATCTTTGGGTATTCCCATGATACCCAGTAAGTTGGAAATGCTTCCTAATAACTTTTGAAAATCATTAAGAGTCTTCAATCGATCTCTCCTTAGTTGTACCTTTTGGGGTCTAATTTTTTGTAGCTCTATCTTATATCCTAAGTAGTTAATAGAATCTCCTCTTTGTATTTTTTCAGGAGCAATTTGCAGTCCCCAGCGAGGCAAAACTTTTTTTACTTCTACAAACATGCTTTCTAATGTATCTAACTTTGGATCAGCTAATAGGATATCATCCATATAGTGATAAATTATGGATTGTGGAAACTTTACACGAATTATCTCCAATGGTTTCTACACAAAGTATTGGCACAAAGTAGGACTGTTTAACATTCCCTATGGGAGGACCTTCCATTGATATCTCTTGACTGGCTGAGAATTGTTATAATTAGGTACTGTGAAGGCAAATTTTTCTCTATCATTTTCTTGTAAGGGTATGATAAAGAAACAGTCTTTTAAGTCAATAACTATTATAGGCCATTCTTTAGGTAGCAGAGAGGGCAAGGGCATCCCAGTCTGTAGGGAGCCCATTGGCTGAATTACTTTACTAATAGCTCTCAGATCTCTCAGCATTCTCCAATTACCAGACTTTTTTTTAATAACAAATACTGGAGAATTCCAAGGGCTGGTAGATTCTTCAATGTGTTGAGCATTTAACTGCTCTTGAACCAGCTGTTCTAAAGCTTGTAGCTTGTCTTTTGTCAAAGGCCATTGTCCAACCCAGACAGGTTTATTAGTTAGCCATTTTAAAGGTAAGGCAGTTGGTACTTCTGAGAGTTCAACAGCAGTTGTGCTCTGTTTGTGAACAGCCTGAATGGTTGGTGACTGATTTTTATAGCATGTGATGATATTATTCCTAGAAACATGCATTGGTCTGTATTCTTTTTCTGAAAGTGTAGGAATTTTAATCTGGGTATTCCACTGTTGTAACAGATCTCGGCCCCAAAGATTTACTCCTACATTTGCTACATATGGCTTCAGCCTTCCTCTCTGTCCTTCTGGCCCTGTGCATTCAACCCATCTCGAACTCTGTTTTATCTGAGATAGGGTGCCAATCCCTAAAAGTTGGACATCTACCTCTTAAAGAGGCCAATTTGGATGCCATGATTTTGGTGTAATTATAGTCACATCTGCACCTGTGTCTACCAGTCCCTCCATAACCAGGCCATTAATTCGAATTCTAAGCTTTGGTCTTTGATCATTTATGGAAGTCTGTCAAAATATTTGTTTTATAGTGTTCTTTGTAAACTGTGATCCACCCATCAGAGCTGTTTTATCATCCATTGCAGTATCGATTTTTACATTAGGCATTGGTTTATTCAGTTGTCTTGGAGAGGAATTTCTTCCACAGTGGCTGGTAATGTTCATACTACATTTGATTTGGGGGAATGCAAGAGGCCCCCTGAGGCATTTCCCACCAGTAAAGGGTTACCTCGTATATCTATTTTAGATCTGCACTCACTGGTTCAATGTCAGCCTTTGCCACACCTTCTACATAATCCGGGAGGTGGTTGGGGTCTCCTGTTTAGGCTATTCCTAAAAGGAGTATTACTCCTAGGAGTACCCCACGTACAGTTTTTACTTATATGACCTGGTGTACCACATTTAAAACATTTGGTAACACGGGGCCTTATTTCACCTCTGGGATTTGTCTCTCCTATCCAAGCCTCATTACTGTAGTTATGAGACTCAACACCATTAGTATACTGAATCCACTCTTCCAAAGGAGCTGATCTGATCTTTTTTTTTTTTTTAAAGAAAACCTTTTCTTTTTTTTTTAAAGATTTATTTATTATGTATACAATATACTTGTATGCCAGAAGAGGGCACCAGATCTCATTACAGATGGTTGTGAGCCACCATGTGGTTGCTGGGAATTGAACTTAGGACCTCTGGAAGAACAGCCAGTGCTCTTGACCTCTGAGCCATCTCTCCAACCCTGATCTGATCTTTAATGGTGTAAGTATTCTTCTGCATTCTGCATTAGCATTGTCGAACGCCAAGGACTCAGTTAATACTTTTCTTAATTCTTTATCTGATATAGCTCTTGTTATAGCTGTGTTCAGTCTTTGTAAAAAATCAGTAAAGGGTTTGTGCGGTCCCTGAAATATCTTTGTGTATACCTCAGTTGGTTTTCCAGGTTTTGGAATTTTTTCCCAAGCATTTAGAGCTGCTGTACGGCATAGGGATATTGTATGTTCATCATAAATGGCTTGTACATTCCTGTCAGTGAAACATCCCTCACCAAGTATTTGATCTTGGGAGATCACAAAACCTCTGATTTTACCTTGTTGTTCTAAATTTTTTGCCTCTTCTCTCAACCAGCTTTTCCACTGTAGCTGCTGGCTATATTCTAGAACAGCTGAAATTAACTGATGCCAGTCATCTGGGATGATTCTATGTGAGGTAGACCAGGAACTTAACAATTGTTTCACATATGTGGAGTGTATCCCATACATAACTACTGCTTCCTTTATATTTTTAAAGTCCCTTATTGAAATTGGTTGTAATGTATATGTATTATATGGCTCGGGATGTGTGTCATCTGCTGGCTTCTCATGGATGATAACAGGATAAGCCATTGTGTGAGAGCCATTTGGAGATGTTACAACCTCTATGGTCTTGCCCTTCTGCTTATTAGGTCCCTTGTCATGTTTACTGAGAGTTTCTTCTAAGGCCTGCAAACGAGCACCTAGAGTCTGTTCTAGGGAGTGAACCTCCTCTCTGGCAAGGGACTCCAGATTTCTCATGGAATCATAGAAGGTTTTATGTTCCTCAGAAACACATTGATCAATTTTTGGTACAAGCCTGTTTTGTAAATCCTGATCAGCAGATTCCAGAGAAAGAATCTTTTTCTCTAAGGTCTCATTGCTATCCATTAAAGCAGATTCCAGAGATAGAATCTTTTTCTGTAACCCTCATTGTTAGTTTTGAAAGCCTGTAAATCCTGGTTAGCAGATTCCAGTGAAAGAATCTTTTTCTCTAAGGTCTCATTGCTATCCATTAAAGCAGATTCCAGAGATAGAATCTTTTTCTGTAAGCCTTCATTGTTAGTTTTGAAAACCTGTAAATCCTGGTTAGCAGATTCCAGAGATAGAATCTTTTTCTGTAAGCCTTCATTGCTCTTGCTTAAAGCCTGTATCAGTCCCAATAATGACTCATCTTTGTTCTTGTTATTAAACCAGTGTTTGAACACTGTGTGGATTATTACAATGAATGCCAAAATGGTACAGGCCAGATATGCCTTAGGAAGGTCGTATATTTCCAGGAAGATGTCATTCATCATACAGGCAAAAAGGTTTTCAAATTCTTGTGAGGTAATGTTGTCAGCCATATTACAAGAATTACTCAAAATTTGTTAGTCAATTTTAAGGTGTAAAATTATCAGGTACTTTTACTTACCTTTCGTGGTTTTGGGGGGTGTAGTAGCACTTTTCAGCCAGCAGGTGGCGTTGGTACAGCTCCAAAGCAGGGCCTGCTGGTGATCTTGGCTGACTGCAGCTCGCTGGAGTCAAGATGGCGGGAGCCGGAGCCGGCGCCGGCACTCAGGAAGCCGGGGAGTGCCTCTTTTGCTGGTCTCGGGGCTAAGCTAGGGAGCTGAGACTGGACTAGCTGCTCCCTTTTTCGGGAATGGAACCGTGTAGGCGTTCCCTGGTTATATGGAACTTAGCAGGCAGGTTTAGGTACCTGCTAGCCGGGGAGGAGGCTGAGGGCGGGAGCCACCCAGGCCTTTGGGATTTGCCCCACGTGAGCGCCAGATATTGGTGAAATTATTAAGGCCACTCCACGTAGTTAAAGGGAGATTTATTTAATGGTGTAACTTACAAATTAAGGGATAGGTAGGTCGTGGAGTCTGGGGAAGGTGTATCACAGTCCAGCGGTGTTCTCTGGAGCTCTGCTCGGTCCACCTCCACTATCCAGGGTCCCGCCACAGAGAGAGCACCGCAGATCCAGATCTTGGGTCCCCAGGCGCCTCCCTTGGCCCTGCCTTGTAGGCGTGACAGTTGCCAAAGTCTCAATGGGGGTTGGAACTTCCAGATCAAAGCTGTAATGGCTACCCACTACAGGGCCGTCTGAATAAAGTGATTTCAACAAATCTGGGGTTCAATGGCTTGGGTGAAAGACTCGTATAGACACAACTTACTGTATTATGCAGTGTTCAGACACTCTGGGTCTCATTTCAAAATTGGGATGCTGTGTGTCTCAGTGACTTTGTACTAAGGAATACCTGAGATAACACAGAAATGCCTATGAACTGCAAGCACTAACTAAGTGTTGGTTAGTGTGGACAAGCATGGGTTAAGGTCAGGAGTCTTTGTTCTTAGGTTAACCCAAAGACCCTAGCTTGTAGTTGTCATAGCCACCCACACTAAGATCTGTGGGCAGCACCGGCAGTCCCAGCAGTAGCCCCAGTGGTGATGTAAGCTAACTTTCTTATACTGCAGTGTGGTTTACACTCAAGATATCCAAACTTTGTGATAAGAATCCCTGGGGCTTTTTATCTTAGAGGCTCAGTGGATTTCTAATTTACTAGGTGTCCTGGGAGGATGCAGTTTTGGCAGCCAGCCTCCCACACATAGGTGGACTTTGCTCCTCCTGAGTACGATAGCAGTGAGAGCCGATGTTCTAATGTTGGAGAGCTAAAAGAATCAGGTCAGGAGAAGGAAGGTGATGTCAGTCAGGAGGAATGGCCCTGAGGGCTTGCAGGGCTGTGAATGTGCTGTGGGCTACGGCCCTTGGTGGCTGTGTTGACCACATTGTCAGGGTGACTTGGCATATGGAGCTCCTTCCAGCTAACACAGGGTGTCCTTTCTCCCTTCAGATTGTATTCCGGAAGATCAGCGATGTGAAACGGGAAGAGGAGGAGCGGATGAAACGGAAGAATGAGGCCCCTCTCATCCTGCCTCCTGACCACCCTGTCAGGAGACTGTTCCAAAGGTTCCGCCAGCAGAAAGAGGCCAGGCTGGCAGCAGAGCGAGGGGGCCGGGACCTGGATGACCTGGATGTAGAGAAGGGCAATGCCCTCACAGACCATACCTCAGCCAACCATAGCCTGGTGAAGGCCAGCGTGGTCACGGTGCGCGAGAGCCCTGCCACGCCTGTGTCCTTCCAGACGGCCTCCACCTCCACAGTGTCAGACCATGCCAAGCTGCATGCACCAGGATCTGAGTGCCTAGGTCCCAAGGCAGGCAGTGGTGATTGTGCCAAGCGCAAAGGCTGGGCCCGGTTCAAAGATGCTTGTGGGAAGGGTGAGGATTGGAACAAGGTCTCCAAGGCAGAGTCCATGGAGACGCTGCCTGAGAGGACAAAGGCATCAGGAGAGGCCACACTGAAGAAGACAGATTCCTGTGACAGTGGCATCACCAAGAGCGACCTTCGCCTGGACAATGTGGGGGAGGCTAGGAGTCCCCAGGACCGGAGCCCCATCTTGGCTGAGGTCAAGCATTCTTTCTACCCCATCCCTGAGCAGACGCTGCAGGCCACAGTTCTGGAAGTGAAGCATGAGCTGAAGGAGGACATCAAGGCCTTGAATGCCAAAATGACTGCCATTGAGAAGCAGCTTTCTGAGATACTCAGGATACTAATGTCCAGAGGCTCTGCCCAGTCTCCTCAGGAGGTGTGTGAGATCTCCAGGCCCCAGTCCCCAGAGTCAGAGAGAGACATTTTTGGAGCAAGCTGAGAGGATCATTTCAAAACAAACAAAAAAAGACAAAAGCCTGCCCCCTTGCCCTCAACACCTCTCACCACACCACCCACATGACCAACAATTTTCAAAGTAGGCTTTTCCTAACAGGAAGTCAAAGTGGGACCAAGTAGCATCGGTGTGGATGTGTGGGCTCTGGAAAACATAAGCAGGAACATGGCCGGGTGCCCAAGATGGCAGCTGCATCTCAACCACAACTGAGAGTTAGGGGAGAAGGGGCACAGCATCTATCTAAAGAGCATTTCCTTTAAAATGTTTTACCAATGTGATATTTATGAAAGATTAAAACTACCAGGAAAGGGCAGCAGCCGTGTAGAGACTTGTGGAAGAGCTCCAGGAACCCCTCAAGAATAGACCACATTGGGCTTCTTTACCAAGCCCCCTGAAGACCACGACAGGCACAGGGATGTCTGGGCATTCACCACCCGTGTAGCCACGTCTGACCCCGCCGTCTGTTTTCCTATTCTTGTCATTTGTAACAAACTCTCAGTAAGGGGAGCTTGATGGACGGGAGAGACTTTCCACTCTCATGGCAGAGATGGAGCATCGAGTGCTGTGCCATGGACCTGCAGGCTCTGGGCTCCTCAGGTTTCCTTGCCCGGAAGAGGTAAGGCCAGGATGAGCCAAGAGGGCCCTCGGCTCTGAGTAGGCTCTGTGGTGTGGTCCACAGTCTGCTCTGTGGGATGATTGATGTGGAAGCTCCCAGAACCAGGTGGCTCTCTGGCGCTGCACCATGCTATAGGCCTCACGACGTGGAATTCTCTGCTGCTTCTCCCACATCCTCTTCCCAAGCTCGCCCATGGCTTTCCTCAGGGTGTGGGACATCGAAAGGAAGGGGCAGGTGCCCAGCGTTGCTTTCCTAACAACATAGACACACACACAACCTCAAAAATGATTGTAGCAAGTACTAGGTTTCTATTTTGATTCTCATGGGATTTTTGTCCAGTGCATGGGGTCATTAGAAGTCACGTGGGAGCCACACTTAGCCTTATTTGAAAGCCAACCTATTTCCTACTCTAAAAATAATGGCAGGACCATGACTATTCTCTTAGGGAGCTGGGAAAAAAGGATGACGCACTGGTTTTCAAGATGTCTCAGTGATAAGCTGTGGCATGTGACAGCGGAGCTGTGGTCTGGGGGAAGGTTGGGGCTCAGAGCCATGGTCACAGGGCCATCTCTGTGGCATCCAAGTTCCCACATCATGATGCTCAGGGACACTTGCTGCCTCAGTCACTTGAGGTCACATTGGTTGGTCTTTTCTGGATGGCATTGGACAGGTCAGGGAGCTGGCTCAGGTGCACACCTGGAGGGCTGCCAGGGGTGTGACCCTACGAGATGAGCCTGGAAGCTCAGCTCTGCAGTGAGCTTTGGAAGAGCAGTTAGGAGAGCAAGTGAGTGACATGGGTGCCTCTGCTTAGCCTTATTTTGTTTAGGGAGTCTGACGTTCAAGACCTGCCCTACCAAAGATGTTCAGTGTTCTGCTTGGAGGCTACAGCATATGCTAGGACTTGACGCATGGCTATCTGTACAGAATGGATGGCCCTGGGAAATCAAGGGTGTGTACATACATAGTGTACATTTAGTGCAATGCTTAAGGGCTAGCCTCTGGCATCCCTAGACCAAGATGCAAGTAGGTTCAGTTTCAGATGGCAGCATTCAGAGACACCCACTGGTGACTCTGAGTAAGTGAGGCCCACAGTCTCCTAAGCTGCTGCCAACTACCCATGGGAACAGACTGTGAAATACTGGAGTCACGTATGCCAGCTGCCCCCTGAATGTCCCACAAGGCCACTCCTCCCACATACTCATTAGCCTGGTTCTAGAGTTCAGGAGCGCTAAGCTTAGGGTAGGATGGGCCCCATGGTCATGTAACACTCAGCCTCGGAAGCACCTGCTCCTAGAGATCCTTCTGGAACTCCCTGAGACCTAGTGGGCCCTCTGGCACCTTGCTAGCCAGTGGGTGGAGGCCCTGTTCTCCTTGGTAGCTCTTTCTGAGGGGGTGAATCTCTTTGAGCTGTATCTCCCCAGTTGGATGATCCAGGTGCTGAGAGATGTTGGAGCCCACCCTGTGTCAGGGGACAGATAAAGCTTCAGGCTGCACTCTGGGGTCAATGCAAATTGTGCTGAAGTCCTGTTAGACTGAGGTCCACACTCTGCAGGGGGCATCTCTGCTCATCTTGGGGTTCTAGGAATCTAGGGCCTAGGGGTTTCTGAAGGTGAGAGTGAAGAACACGGGGTGGCTTTTATTTTTCTCCATTCCTACAGCATTTTTGCTATGATTGCCTTCTCTGAAATAAATTTTAAATGAGCCAGCCCACTTCTCTTTACTTTTATGGCATGCACTGGACCAGAGGCTGTTCTGTGCCAACTTCACCTTTACAAGGACATAACTGGTGTCTTGAGCAAGAACCCCAGGATTCAGATACCAATGGCCTGCACCTTCCTGTATTAGCCATTATTTGGTGGCTGGGGAGAGAGCAGAAAACAAAGAGTGACGAGGTAACAGACTGAATGAACACTGAGATTTCAGAAAAAATTATGCTGAGAGACACTTTGTTCTTTTGGAGGGGACGAGCATGTGATGTGGTACACCACTGTCCAGGGACGAGCACATGATGTGGTACACCACTGTCCAGTAAGTGCTGACTACTCGGTCTCTGTAGATGAGCTATTGTGAATATCATCCACAGTGAAGCTCCATTTCCCAGTGGCTATCCGGACAGGCTAGTTTGAAGGGCGGCAATCCCACTTGGACTGACGGACCTGCTTTCTTCCTGAGGGCATTCAGTAGTGTGGGCTAGGCATCAGAACCAAAATGGCAGAGTCAGTGTTCTGGTTTGGTAGGCATGCTGCATCGTCAGCCATGCCATCCTAGAGGCAGCTGCAGCCTCCTCTACTGGGCACATGACAGGCTGTGTGATGCTCTGGTCTAGGCACAGCTAACTCCACGTCTCTGCTTCCTGCTGGAGCAGAGAACAAGTGTTTGACTGCTGTGCCCAACACAGCAGCCTCACAGAAGGTTTTCTTTCTTGTTTATGGTGCTGGAGGTCAAAGTTAGGTCTTTGCCAATGCCAGGGAAAAGCTCTACCACTGAATGATACTTCTAGCTCCCCAGCAACCTTCTGGAAACACATTTATTACTTTGATTTCTTGGTATCTGGTTCCTAGGGCCTGTGTTAGCCTCCACCTCTTAGAGCCTCTGTGCTGCTTCCGCAGTGAGGATGGTTGGGCAAGGAGTAGAAATACTTCCCACCCCACCATGCACAGGCTTCAGCTTCCAAATCCTTAAGTGGAAGGAGAGAATATTAAGCCAAATGCCAGGTATGACTGAAAGAACTCTTTAGAAATATCAGAGGCAGATCGTCATCTCCTTGTCACACTGACATCTTACAGGTACACTCTGGGGCCTCTCAGGAGCCCTGGCGAAGGTACAAATTGTAGATGTACACACAACTAAATTGTTTGTGCTCTGTTTTGCAATAAAGATGTTTAGCCTTAAGAACCTTGAATGGAACTCCAGCCGCAATGGGGCTGCCAGTGCCCCTTCCTACCCCCTCTCCTAGCGTTGCTTAGAAAGGAGGTCTGCCTAGGTTCCCTCAAGCCCTCAGATGGCCTCTCCTACCTAAATGTCGCCGTCATTGTTACTGCTCCGTATACTGCCTTCTTACTCACGTCAGTAAAAACTATCTTCACCAGCTCCCATGCTCTCTGCCTGGAGAAGTCTTCAGTGTCCCTGAAGTACTGACCCTAAGCTTCTGAGAAAGGACCATTTCCATCCGAAGTGTTGGTGTTGAGAAGAACTCCTTGCCACCTCCCACAGTTCAAAGGCATCAATGTGAATTTTACCTGCAGCTTAAGTCAGTCTCAAATGAAACTTCAGTTTTCATACTAGTGTATCAGAACCTTTAAGGATGGCCTTGAATTCCTGCCAGACCTGGTGGGGGCGTCTCCACCTGCCACTCAACCTTCCTTAGAGACACTGACTCTTTATCTGTGACTTCTGAGTCATCCACTGACCCATTGGTCCTTGAGAAGTTTGCAGCTCTCCTATCAGAAGACAGACTGTGTTTATGGTATGAATGCAACACCCCCCATGAATGTAGCCTCTTAATATTCAGACACTGTATTTGTGCATCAGTTAGAGACTGTCCACATTGCAAGGACATTTATACTCATGAGCAGTTCATCATTCTGGGGCTTCTCATACGAACACTCTCCATCAAATCCTGCCAAATCCTTTATCGGGTTTTTTGTTTCTTTTTCCTCTGTCCGAATGAGCATGAATAAACGGAAGTGCAAATGAGCTGAGGCTATTTTTGTGGTCAGCCAAGGATGCTGCCAAGAGCTCCACTGTGTGGCTGTGGCGTGGGGATGTGAAAACTTGGGCACTCCATGGATGATGATACCCCCTTCTTGATGTTTTTAAACAAGCACAAATGATATTTGTAAAAAGAAGTTTAATTTTATTTATTATGGTAATAAACTATTTTATACGTGACACTTTTGACATTCAGTTGGGTGCTTTCTGTTCTTCCAGCAGTTCTGTGCGTGTTTCCTGAGACCTACCTGAGTGGCTGGCTTCCAACCAGCTGCAACTCCAGCTCCAGTTGATCCAATACCCTCTTGTGGCCTCTGAGGCACCTGCACACACATGACACACATAAACATAGCAATAACTCTCCTTTAAAAACTGATCCGGGGAGCTCTGATGTGGATGGTGCCCGTGCACCAGTCAGTTTTCTTGTTGATGTGGCAAAATAGCAGAAAAAAGCTGTTACATTTCAAGCCAAATGTCTGAGGTGCCAATTTAACATATCAAAGCAGATGCTGGCTGCCAGGTTCTTCCTGTATCCCTCAGTCCTACCTGTCACAGGGCCTCCTGGCTGGCACACCCCACTCCCTCCCCTAAACTTCTCTAGCCCAGGGCACTGGGCTGCTCTTCCCTATCCAGTCCCACCATTTTGGTTATCCCCTCTCTGGGGGCCTCCTGGCTGCTGCACCTGGTTCCCTTTTTCGCCTCCCCCTTCCTCCCTCCCTCTCACATGGCTCAGGGTCATGTCCACTCTAGACTCTGATGTCCCTGCCTCCAGCTATACTCACCCGTATATCTATAATAAACTTTCTCCTCCACCACACCTAGGAGCAGTCATCTCCTTTCCCTTTTATTTCTTTTTTTTCATTCAGAAATCAGCTTGCAGAAAGGATTTATTTTAGCTCATGGCTTGAGGGTGCTGGTCACATTGATGGCATCCTTGATAGGAAGCAGAGAGAGGTAGGTGCTGGGGCTCAGCTCTCTCTCTCTCTCTCTCTCTCTCTCTCTCTCTCTCTCTCTCTCTCTCTCTCCAGTCTGGATCCCAGTCCAGGGAATGGTGACACCTGTATTCAGAATGGGTCTTCCTGATCTAGAAATCCTTCATAGAAAAGTCTCAAGTAATTCTAGATCCTGTCAAGTTGACAGTCGATATGAACCTATAATGGATGGGGGAATATAAAGTTCTAGAGGCAGCAGACTTTATGTCTGAGGGCTGTTCACTGAGTGTCCACTGGAAAGTGAGGCAATACTTGTTCTCACTGAAGTTCTGGTTCTGCCTTGGGAGGCTGTGAGGCTGCCTCTACTATACGGGTCTTAAAGATCTGGGTCCTTCGTAGCCAAACCACAACAAAGGCTCTGCCTCCCACCACAATGCCTCAGAAGGGACAAACTACATTCATGGCTTCAGGCATCTTGCCCTCCTTGGGCGCTGTCTTGGCAGGTGACTAGAGCTCCTGGCCTTACTCATGGAGCTATCAGAGTCAGAGGGCCCAGGGCTGGCAGTGACTCAGGACCTTACCCAGTGTTTTTCCAGAACTGTTCCTGAAGTTGCCGGGGTTAATGACTGACTGACTGCCGCCCAGGAGCCAGCCTTAAGGGTCTATTTACAGTGAGTGGAGACCATAGAGGAAGGTGCTCCTGTCATGTTACAGTGGGGAGCAGGGAGAGGCAGGACAACAAGAGTCCTGGATAATTCACACAGAGAACTAACAGTCAATGTCCACTAGCCTGAGACCGAACAAACTTCAGGGTTATAACAACCAAGTACACTCACTGACTCTTCCAGTGTCATTTCATGAACAGGTCTACCATTCTGTAAATGGCTTCTCTGGAAGAGTTCAGCATCTCCTGCATTATTTACAGGATGTTCCCACATTAGACACTGCCCTATAATCATTTTTACACTACGGTTTTTCTTAGCAAGCCCTTTCCCTTACTTGAAGGCCTCACCCAGACTCTCTCTGGCTGACCACAGATCCTTAACTCTGTTGGCCTGTGAAACTGCACAGAACTCAGTTCAATTCTCACTCTCCCCAATCCTTAGAACCTCCCGGCAGCCCACAATTACCTTCCCCATATCTCCCCGCTTACCAAGCCCGCTGCTGAGGTTATTTATTAATGCCCAGCTTACCTGCCCCTTTCCGGCTTGTGCTTGGTTCTAACGAGCACAGCATACTCATCCCAGGCCAGCAACATCTGCCCCCCATCCCTTCCAAGCATGGCAGCCAGGAAGAAGGGGATCTACCTGGTGACTGGGGGTGCATTGTAAGGGTGCATGTTCCACTGAGTTGATATTCCCAGGGATGACGCAGGATGATATCTTGTAGAGAATGAGATAGCACTAAGCCCCGTTGGCCCTGACACCTAATTGTCACACAGTAAACAATTCATATAGTTGGAGGGTTAAGCATTTGTCCCAAATTCCACACACACAGCTTTTTCAGACAGCCTCTTCCCTCACCCCTTCCCTGTGAAACCAAGTGGGAGCACTATCACTGACCACTTGTCGGCGGCAGCCTGCCCAACATCAGTCTGGAGGGATGAAATGTCAAGTTACGCATGTTTAGATCTCAAAATTTTTGTTTAAAAACATCCACAATAAGTCTAGAAAAATGTGGATTATCTATGTTACAAAAGGGCTCTGCTTTATTTGAGTGAGAATAAGGCAATGAAACCCACTAAGCAAAACACACGTAGTGTGTGTGACCTTGGGCTGCCACCTTTCCCAGAGGACTTGCCCAATAGCACCTGTCTGTGGACACAGCCATTCTCTGGCTTTTTACACTCCCATGCTGTACAGAACAGCTGTGAAAGGAATGACCATGTTACTCCATGGCTACAGACCTCAGAGAACAGCAGCTGCATGGGGAAGCCCCAGTAAAGTTCAAACTGCAGAACTCCTTGGGATGCTCCACCTGAACATCACCCACTCTAGCCAGGCCACTTGGAACAGGACTATGGCTTTGCTGCCTCCCTGCTAAGGACCATCCATGTGCAGGCCAATCCAGTGAAGAACATTTGGAAAGAGGTCACCAAACATCACAGAATGACTCTGAGAGGCAAGCCTATCCCTGACCAGGGTTTCCATGCCCAAACAATGAATGTCCACCACATTGAATCTTTGGTCAAGAAGAAATAACTCAACAGGTCAACAGTAGGTTCTAGAACAAATGTCACCATGTATAGTTGGGAAAGACCTGAGACTGCTCCTGACTCTAGCTTATGTACCAGGAAGCTCATGGGGGTAGGTAGAAAATCTTTGAGGCTCCAAAATTAGAAGATTTTTCAGGTTGTACATTTTCTGTGATAGATAAAGCTGTCAGACTCAGAATGAAGCATCTTCAGCAGAAGATGAGTGAAAGGTGGTCCCTCAGGGATGGTCCTGGAGCAGAAGGTGGTCCCTCAGGGATGGTCCTGGAGCAGAAGGTGGTCCCTCAGGGATGGTCTCAGAATAGAAGGTGGTCCCTCAGGGATGGTCCTGGAGCAGAAGGTGGTCCCTCAGGGATCGTCCTGGAGCAGAAGGTGGTCCCTCAGGGATGGTCCTGGAGCAGAAGGTGGTCCCTCAGGGATCGTCCTGGAGCAGAAGGTGGTCCCTCAGGGATGGTCTCAGAATAGAAGGTGGTCCCTCAGGGATGGTCCTGGAGCAGAAGGTGGTCCCTCAGGGATGGTCCTGGAGCAGGAGGTGATCCCTCAGGGATGGTCCTGGAGCAGAAGGTGGTCCCACAGGGATGGTCCTGGAGCAGAAGGTGGTCCCTCAGGGATGGTCCTGGAGCAGGAGGTGGTCCCTCAGGGATGGTCCTGGAGCAGGAGGTGGTCCCACAGGGATGGTCCTGGAGCAGAAGGTGGTCCCTCAGGGATGGTCTCAGAATAGAAGGTGGTCCCTCAGGGATGGTCCTGGAGCAGAAGGTGGTCCCTCAGGGATGGTCTCAGAATAGAAGGTGGTCCCACAGGGATGGTCCTGGAGCAGAAGGTGGTCCCTCAGGGATGGTCCTGGAGCAGAAGGTGGTCCCTCAGGGATGGTCCTGGAGCAGAAGGTGGTCCCTCAGGGATGGTCTCAGAATAGAAGGTGGTCCCTCAGGGATGGTCCTGGAGCAGAAGGTGGTCCCACAGGGATGGTCCTGGAGCAGAAGGTGGTCCCTCAGGGATGGTCTCAGAATAGAAGGTGGTCCCTCAGGGATGGTCCTGGAGCAGAAGGTGGTCCCACAGGGATGGTCCTGGAGCAGGAGGTGGTCCCTCAGGGATGGTCCTGGAGCAGAAGGTGGTCCCTCAGGGATGGTCTCAGAATAGAAGGTGGTCTCTCAGGGATGGTCCTGGAGCAGAAGGTGGTCCCTCAGGGATCGTCCTGGAGCAGAAGGTGGTCCCACAGGGATGGTCCTGGAGCAGGAGGTGGTCCCTCAGGGATGGTCCTGGAGCAGGAGGTGGTCCCTCAGGGATGGTCCTGGAGCAGAAGGTGGTCCCTCAGGGATGGTCCTGGAGCAGAAGGTGGTCCCTCAGGGATGGTCTCAGAATAGAAGGTGGTCTCTCAGGGATGGTCCTGGAGCAGAAGGTGGTCCCTCAGGGATCGTCCTGGAGCAGAAGGTGGTCCCTCAGGGATGGTCCTGGAGCAGGAGGTGGTCCCTCAGGGATCGTCCTGGAGCAGAAGGTGGTCCCTCAGGGATGGTCCTGGAGCAGGAGGTGGTCCCACAGGGATGGTCCTGGAGCAGAAGGTGGTCCCTCAGGGATCGTCCTGGAGCAGAAGGTGGTCCCTCAGGGATGGTCCTGGAGCAGAAGGTGGTCCCTCAGGGATGGTCCTGGAGCAGAAGGTGGTCCCTCAGGGATCGTCCTGGAGCAGAAGGTGGTCCCACAGGGATGGTCCTGGAGCAGGAGGTGGTCCCACAGGGATGGTCCTGGAGCAGAAGGTGGTCCCTCAGGGATGGTCCTGGAGCAGAAGGTGGTCCCTCAGGGATCGTCCTGGAGCAGAAGGTGGTCCCTCAGGGATGGTCCTGGAGCAGAAGGTGGTCCCTCAGGGATCGTCCTGGAGCAGAAGGTGGTCCCTCAGGGATGGTCCTGGAGCAGAAGGTGGTCCCTCAGGGATGGTCTCAGAATAGAAGGTGGTCTCTCAGGGATGGTCCTGGAGTGGAAAATGTTTCTTCAGGGATTGTCTTGGAGTGGAAGGTGGTCCTTTAGGGATGGTCTCAGAGTGAGAG